TGTTGTTCAGCATGGGGGTGAGTAGAAAATGAAGGCTAATCATGTTTTGGGTGTACTATTCCTTTAAGATGCTGACTTGGCCTCCTGATTCCCAGATCTCAGTTGTGTAGAATCTGTGTGCTGCAGCCAGTCTGATGATGCTTGGATTGGTCCAGGTTGTTTTGACAGCAAAAGGAGGACCAACTTCTGGGTAATAAGCAGGTAGTCATAATATTATGTCTGATCATAACATTTAGCAAATAATACAGATGAAACCCAGGCTTATATGCAGCAATAACAACAATGTAATGACATATTACAGCCCTGAAATGGTTTCCAGCTGATCTCACTGTGCTGGTTTATTTGCAAGAGACGTGAAAGAGCGCCTCAGTTTGCTTAGTAATTTCCTTCCATAATTCAGAAGCAAGATCATGCAAGAAGTTGCTTCCTGTAAATGCTTTGGTTAACATCATCGTTGTGAAGGAAGGAAGCTTTTCAGGCGACATAACGCAGAGGGATCTAGCGAGCAGCGATGGCAGAAGCGAACGACAGCGAGCAGCAGATGATAAATAACAGGGAATCAAAGAGGAAAGACTGGGCTGCATCCTTACTGACCTGAGTTCTGCCAGAGGACGAGGATGAGCAGCTGTCACATGAGCGCACCTTCATGCTGCGGGGTTATGATATCACTGCAGACAACAGAACAAGTTTATTATTAAAGCTCCTCCCTGTCAGACGCGCCGTCTCCGCCATGTCAAGATAATTCCCCTCCGCCCCCAAACTCATAGCCGGGTATGGCAGGCCGAGTTGATATTTATTAGCGTCACAGAACTGAATCTGTGATCCAGATGCCTCAAATGCATTTCTTCCTAGTCAAAACATTTCAGATATCTAAAATAACATTCTTCTTGTCTTAAACAAACATTTCAAATATCTAAAATGTGATTCTTACCAGTACAAATGACGTCACCTATCCATTCATGTGCATCGGACTTTTACTTCTAGATATCTAAAATAACACTCTTCCTATCTAAAATAATTGATTGACTGATTTATTGATTAAGTTTATTGATCTCACAGTGGAGAAATTTAACGCATACATCGGCTCAATAGTCAAGATGAAGAAGAAGGTGACAAAAGGACG